CCTTTAATGCCTACCAGTAGTACCTGTTGTACTAGAATTGTATAGTACTGCGAGAGCGGCCCCCCCCCCCCCCCCCCGCCTTCATTTTATATTTATTTATAACCAAGGAAAACCAAGGAAAAGAAAATCGTATGGCAGAGTGCAACTGAAGTTAGTACGGTGGGAAATATGTAGTGGTAAAGGTCAGCATGTCCTTGTGTGGAGTTCCAAGGTAGACTGCGTGCGAATTGACTTCAAAGTGTGCAATGTGTGTACAAGGTATGTGTTGCATGCCCTACAGACCACCTCTATAGCACGACCACGAAAGGAAGAGTTGGTGGGGCGCTCACGCGGTACTTTACGGTACCTACCCCCCGCCGCCTCATTCACACCCACACAACAACCCCCTCTGCTTCCCTCACATCCACACAACAAAACAAATTGCCATGATAGGAACAGTTGTGCACCAGTATGTAGGTAGCAAGTTCCAGTCCTAGATTTTGACACAGGCAAACACGACTGGGTGCGCAACCACTCACCCAAGATGGCAATGGTGGAGAGATGCTCATACCGTTGCTCCGATTTGCTAACTTCTGAGATGAAGCTGACATAGCGGTTGTGGAATGCTGATAGTCGAAGGGTACCAGTTGCCTTGACTGGCCATGACTGTATCAACGTTGACAGAACTGCAAAACAAACGTGTGCTGGGTTTGAACGGATATGTGGCTGTTCCCAAACATAGAAGAATGCAAGGCACCAAATACCAGAGAAGCCTTGGCCAGACATGAAGACACCTCAACCGACAACAGACCGTCGACAGCAATACAGCTATCTAGGTAAGTGAGTTCTTTCACAATTTAGATGTCGGCATCTGAAAACACCAAGCACTCAGAAGAAAAAGTTTATCAGCATTGACGACCATGCACTTTGTTTTATCAAAGCTGACAGTGAGGCTGGACGTGGTAGCAATGCTCACGAAACTTTGATCACACATGTAGTCTCATCATTGCTAGATGCTTCCTACTGCATATCTGTCAGAATAATTATGTCTAACGGCGCAGTCACATCCAATAACATGGTATGATAGCATGGTATGATAGCATGGTATGATAGCATGGTATGATAGCATGCATGATTCACTGTCTGCATACTGTATCCAGACAGTGAGTCATGCATTCACTTGGACCGCATCGCCATCTACTGCAGCGACCGCCTTGCAGCCCAGCTCGCACACCTTGAGCACAACGGTACGATCCCATATCTTGCCACGGCTTGTGACAGAATTGGTAGTGTTCTGCTCCACTGTTCACTAACAGGCAAAGTAGGCTAATTTAGGAATAGGTCATACCACCATCAGGTGCTGACACAATTCAGTATCAATTTTACCTGGGGTCACTGGCCTTGGAAAGGCACTGATGTACGTATGTGCTGCTCCTTGAGTGAACTTCTCCAGACCCAGTTTTCAGTTCCCCTTCGTTTTGACAGTAGAGATAGAAAAATTCTGCCGCTCGACGTGCATCCATACACTGCACCCGAGGCTTGTGGCGCTTCTTACCCTTGCATGCAGAGGTCTTCAAAATGCAAGGCCACAGCCCAGAAGTCGCAAAAAAAAACAAGAAACCAAGCTGCTCTTCAACAGGAATTCATGATTAGCGTGGCTAGTTCAAAGCCTTGAATGACAATGTTCTCACGATACAGTCAAGAAATGCAGCTCGTAGATCGGGTAAGGCCTAGTCGCTCTGCAACAACCTTTCTCCCTGAACCCTTCATAATCGACTTCGACCAAAAAGCTCCTTGACTGACAAAAATTGAAGTCGAAACTGCTCTGTCATCAGTCTGTGCCTGTGGACTGGTCAGGTTATCTGGTTATGTTGTCGACATGTCTGTCAAAGTTGATTATAGCAATAAAAACTGCTTTATGGCAGTTTTCTAAAAAACGTTATTGTGTTCTAGTCCATGGACCCCGTCTAAAAAGTAAGAAATTAACGAAATGTGAAATCCAAAAATTATAATTTCATACAAAACCTCACAATAATCACACACAGGATGAAAAGCGAGAAGACCTTTTCCCCTCCTGGTCCTCTTTCCTATTCATGCATGTTGGCGCAGTAATCGTAAGAGTCACCCGTGAAGTGTCAGACCAAGATGGACTCTTATTATTATTATTATTATTATTATTATGGAGTTGGCTTTCATGACATGAGGTAAGAACCCCATCACCGGGCCAAAAGAGACCAAGGGTGATGAGAGAAAAAAATAGATAAATGGCCAACGCAATGGAGACCGAAGCAAAAAGGATTGTAAAAACCAAAGCAAAAATATTGAAAGCCGACGCAGAAACTGAGAGACGGACAGAAATAAGCAGAACGATGGAGGAGGACAGGACATATTCGAATACAAAAAGAGTAATCACAAAAATGGACTACCAGTACAGGAATAGACCTGTAGAAATAGCGGAAGAGATGAATGCGGACATACTCAAATGGCAAGAGAAAAATCAGGCTGTGAGGACCGTCATACTGCACATTCATGGATGTCAAAGCAAATGCAGTATTGGAGGTTTATACGGACTAGCTCTACCCGTAACATGAGGAGCCTAATGCCGAATGCCAAGAACCGACTTGACGATGTTCAGCGTGCCCAGGATAGCACATTGCTGAGCCCTTTCAATGCGCAGAGTGCCTGCCAATGCCAACGCAAAGTGTGAGAGGGACACACCAGTCAGTCCACCAAGCGCCCCAACAACCAGGGGCACAACGCGGACATCATCCACATGCCAGATGCGCCGCAGCTCTTGGCAAAGGGGAGCGTACTTTGTTATTTTTTCGGCGATTTTTGTGGGCACATTCTGGTCCAATGGAACACTAACATCCATCAGCAGCACCTGTGTGCTGGACCGCAACACCAGGTCTGGACGGTTGTGGCGCACTTGCGTATCCGTTGGGATATTGAACTCCCACAGGAGCTTCATGTCAGGATTTTCCGTGACAGGCACAAGATGATGCTTCAGCGGGTTGCTTCCCGGCCGACCCAGACCATGCCGCTTGCATAGTGCCCAATGCACCAACTTGACGAGCGTGTCATGCCGTTCGATATACAGTGTTTTGGCTAGAGCTGGGCAACAGGCCACAATGTGATCAACTGTTTCTCCGCGAGTGCCGCAAACTCGACAAATGTCCACAACGTCTCCCCGTCCAATGACCGTGACCTGATAGTGCCTGGTCGCAATGGCCTGATCCTGTACAGCCAGCAAGAGTCCCTCTGTCGCAGACCTGATCGTTGGCGATTTCAGCCAGCGAAAACTCAAGCCCAGGTCCAAGCCAGCATCAGCAGCTCGTCTCCAGAACTGGCCATGGAGAGGCTTACCTTGGATAACGGCCAGGCACCGGAGAGCAACGGCCTTCTTGACAATGACTTTTGTGGCAGTCTCCAAGTCGGGTAGGTCAAGTTCACCCAGAAGTCTGGAGGCTTGACGTGTAACTGATTTTGACGGTGCCACATCATTGTCATGATGGCGCTTAACAGCAGCCAACAGTGGCACGTTTGGGTGGGCTTGTAGGTACCGCGCCACCCGGACACGGGTTCTATCCAGGAGATCCCGGAATGATAGAATTCCTCGACCACCCATGTCACGAGGCAGGTGGACCCTGGCGGCAGAGTCCTTGGGGTGGCGGGCGTGTGCTTTAAACAGTGCTTGGCGGGTCTGTCGGTCGAGTTCCTCTATCTCTGCCTTTGTCCACTCAACGATGCCCAGAGAGTAGAGGATGACTGGAATGGCAAAGGTGTTGATGGCTTTGACCAAGTTCCTGGCGTTCAATTGAGACGAGCATATGAATTGAAGGCGGCGGCCGAACTCAGACTTTGCTGTGGTCTTCAATTCGGTGGCGTGAAAATGTGCTGATTCTGGGACACCAAGGTACCTGTAGGACTCCTCCGCCTGCAGCTTAGCAATAGCGTGACCCTGGAGTGTCTGGAGAGCAGACTGCTGATCGCTCTGGGCTCTCCCCCGTTTCAAAGTGAGCCAGCTAGACTTTGACGGGTTGAAACGCATACCAATGCAGTCGCCCATTGACTCCACAACATTGGTCATGGAGAGCAGATAATTGTCATTTCGGGCGAAGAGCTTCATGTCGTCCATGTACCACAGGTGCGATACAGGGCACACCTGGGCCGGTGGGCCACAGCGGTAGCCAAGACCCGTCCTGGTCAACTCGCCACTGATCGGATTTAGAGACAGGCAAAATAGCAGTGGAGAAAGGGAATCGCCCTGGAGAATGCCACGGTGGATAGATATTGGGCGACTGAATGCACGGGGTGTTTGACCAGGCAGTACCATTTGCGTTCTCCTATGATCCATCATGCTTGAGATGCATGAGACAAGATTGTCTGCAAAGCGGTAGATCAACAGGCATCTCCGGATCCACTGGTGAGACAGGCTATCGAAGGCTTTGCGGAAGTCCACCCAGCACGTCGAAAGATTCCGACAACGGGATGCTGCATCCTCTAGAACCATCTTGTCGATCATTAGTTGGTCAAGGCATCCACCACGCCCTGGAGTGCAGCCAACTTGCTCATCTGCAAAGATATCCTCTGAAGATAAATGGCGCCACATGGCAGCAGCGAGTAAGGATGTGAATATCTTGCTAATCGTTGGCAGGCATGTTATTGGGCGATAATTCTCGGGCCTAGAAAGGTCTCCTTTTTTAGGCAGTAGAGTGGTGATACCAAACGAGAACCAGGCCGGCGACTCTGTCTCTGCATCCAGGATTGATTGAAAGGAGACCACAAGCCGCTCGTGGATAGACGAAAACTTCTTCCACCAAAATGCATGGATCTTGTCTCGTCCTGGGGCTTTCCAGTTGTTTGATTTCTTCAAGATGTCCCTGAGGTCCTCCAGTTGAAGAATGACACGGTCTTGTTGTTGAATCTCCTCACAGTCCCTCTCCAACTTATCAAGCCAAGCACCGCCACGCAGCCCCACGGGTTGTTCCAGTATAGATGACCAGAACTCAGTAACAGCCTCAGCCGATGGATGCGCAGCAGCCTGGTCGCTGCCCAGGCATTTCCGTAGACTTGGTCATATTGCGGTAGAACTGACGCTCATTCGTGACGAAAACACGATTCTCCGACCTGCGTGTTGCCTCTAGCTTATAGCGCCGGATCCGTGCGGCTGTTGCTTCTAGCTGCATTTTCGTATGCTCCAGTAGCTGGCGGGCCTGATCCAAAGTCTGGACTTTATATTGCCGGTGGATCCTGTGCTGCTTGATGTTGGTGTCAGAGAGGGATCCATCACGCAGGAAGCTGGTCAGCCGGGAGACGTCAGCCCTCAGTGCACAAACACGTTTTTCAAGGCGTTGTCGCCAGGCAGGCAAGGAGCGTTCTCCTCTAGTTGTGTCAGGGGTACCATCTGTATTGATATCCAGCAGTGAGAGTACAAGCTTGGCCCCAGCATAGACCATGTCACTGATCTGGCCAAGCGAGGTGGTGTCATTTCGCACCTCACGGTCACACTCCAGGAGTCTAGGGAGTATCTTGTTCACACGGGCAGTGGCAGAGGCCAGAGACTTCCTGGCCACGTGCCTAGGTACAGGTAGGCTCGACCTGGACTCTGGAGTAGTTGCACCGCACTGTTCGTAGATTGCAACAAGTTTGGCGTAGAGTGGTGTACTATCTGGCTCGAACGCACCCAGGGTGTCACTAGCGTTGGTGCCAGTTTGCATTGCTGCGCCAGTGCCATCACCCGAACCACCTGATGTAACTGAGGTGTCAGGACTAGCTCCACGCAAACCATCAACAGAAGCGTCCAGCAACTCACTGTGGGTGGCCTCAGCAACGTCTGGGCTAGTCACCATGCCGTCACACGAACCAGGCACCAGGATCGACGCACCAAACTCACCCAAAGCATTCGCCTCCGGCAGCTCCGCAGGCACAGCGTTGTCAGTGCCAGCCGTCACGAGCAATCCGTCCCTTCCGAGCCGAGCCTTTATCTCATCAAATTCGATGTCGGTAATCTTTTTTGTTCTTTTCACAAACCTTAGCTGGTCCATGAGGTGCTGCTTAGACAACGGTCGGTCGGGGCGCAGCTGAGTCCATTCCATCAGCATCCGGTCTCCGTACACACGTAACGTACCGCCGACTGAGGCTATAAGATAACATCTTTATTATTATTATTATTATTATTATTATTACAAAAAATGTATTATCTACGCATGCATCTACGCAAGAGTCACCACCAGCCAATTAGGACATGTGTCAAAGTATTGAACGTTTTTGTTCCCTTCTTGTCAAAATACTACAGGGAATGATGGAAATAAGCTAAAAGACTACAACTATAAGGAAAAGAAGTTCAGAAACATATCACTCCAATTATGTGTAGAAGTGACACGAAAAAATAGATGTGAAGAATCAAAAAAAACAGCATGCAAATCCAATAAGTGACAAAAACGTAGTAACAAGAAAAAGAGAGAAATATCAAGAGATCTATTTCGCACCTTCACGACGAACAGTGCCAAACAACTGCAAAGACAACACATTCTCCTTCTGAACACAAAGCTCAGGGTCTAACTTACGTATGTACAAAGCTTCCAACACGGCAAGATGTAACAAAGACCTACCACGCGACAAAACAGAGAATACATCATCGGAATACCACTCACGACAACTAGCACTGCCCGACAGGTGACACTTGATTGCCGAGGTACCGTTTCCCTGACCCGACGACTTGGCCGTTGTCACCTCCGATATCGCCGCTTGCGAATCTCTCCCATTTCGCCCTGCGTCCCTGCAATTCCGATTGCCTCGGTCGAGATCAGTGTGCTGCTCCACGTCCAGTCTGTCCTGCTTCCGTGGTCTACCTCGTTTCTTCACATTAACCGTTGTTGTCACTTCCAGTATTGATTCTTTTGATTCGTCATCAATTCGTCTCCTCAATTGACTTCTGGTGACTCGTCCGGGGCTCGATTGTCCAGATGTCAGTTTCGGTGGTTTCCGTATCGGTCTCTTCTTCTTGTTGACTGTTGTTTGGGTTGGCTCCAGTCAACATGTACCGTTGAATCTTGTCCCTGTAGCTGCACGTGGTTCTCGACCTCGGCGTGGTCGTCCACCGAAGTGTCCAGTGCAGTCTGTGTCTGAGGTGGACTTGTCCAAGTCCGCAGTGGATACGCTTGCCGACGCCTCCTCCTTTTCGTCGGGCGGAGGGCTGGAGCGACTGCCTCTCGTGTGCTCTGGATGGCAGTCGTGAGTCCGTCAAGTGTCAAGTAAAGTCGGCGGAATAGCGCGAGCTCCGGTGTGGGGAGCAAACCCTTTCTTACAAGTCATCGCCGAAGTCGCAACCACTACTTCGTACTGTTGTGCCCAGCGCGGGCTTGCGACTAGTTGGTTTGGAGGTGACAGCGTTGCGAATGACCGAGGGTCCTCGACGTCTGTCTCACCATCCAGGAGCGACACTGACTCACGCTGCTATCTGGTGTTCACGAGGTGTTTGTCGCGCTGGAAACGGACCGTCTCTGTAAGTTTGTATCCCTGGTGATGTTTGTGCCTGGAGAGCACTATATAAGTGGTGCTCTTCAGGCACAGTATTCCTCAGCCTACTCAAGCTCAACTGATGAGGGGTGAATTCCCCGAAACACTGTGTATTGAGCAGGGAGTGGTGCTTTCTTGCAGGTTTGCCGAGTCGAAGGTTCGATGCACTTCTCGTGTGCTCTGGATGGCAGTCGTGAGTCAGTCAAGTGTCAAGTGAAGTCGGCGGAATAGCGCGAGCTCCGGTGTGGGGAGCAAACCCTTTATTATTATTATTATTAAAATTGCTTTCCCCACGCCGACTCTTTATTATTATTATTATTTTATTTGAAAAGGCGACGAGGAGACACTAGGGTGTTTCTTGGTCGGACTAAACAAGTGTTGAAAGCAGTATTTTTTTAAAACTAAGATCCTCAAGTGTTGTGATTATTGTGAGGTTTTGTGTGAAATTTTAATTTTCGGCTATCACATTTCGTTAATTTCTTACTTTTTAGACGGGGTCCATGGACTAGAACACAATAACTTTTTTTAGAAAACTGCCATAAAGCAGTTTTTATTGCTATAATTTCTTTTTTTTTGGCTAAGGATGATTATTATAATACCAAGGTTTATGTACTGTTGATAATACATGTAGTTGTGTCACCAATGGAATGCTCTAAATGATGGCCTACATGTAGCGCCTCCACATGTGCATCATATCAAATTCAATACCGTATTATACGCATTGATGCGCAAGCCTTTTCTTGCAGAAATGGCACTAGTCTTGCATATTCATGTTCTTCTGCAGAGGAATCATATGGGTAGTGATACTTTTTTTATACGCAGGTCATTCTGTGGATGTGGCTGTTGCAGAATTTCATGACTCTGTCATAAAATTGTCTTGTCTTTCAGAAAATTCAGATGTCCACACTCTAAATCACATTTACTTGAGAATTGTAAGCAGGTGCGTGCCGCAGATGTTTTTGCTGATTCTGTGTTTATAATTGTAGTCATGGGTTGTCGTGATAAGGTCATCCGGCATCATAATATTATTGTACTGAAATCGTAATCCTGTTGTTGTCGATACAACTTTTGGAAGTAGTTCAATGACTTCAAAGTATTACAAGTCCACGATTGTCTAAAACAACACAGCAAAGTAGGAACAATAAGCATGTATTAAAATGTAAACAAATACATTGTTGAGCCCGATACTTCGTTCCAACAACTACACTGATCCTGAGGATATAAGGGGCAAGGATATGGTTGGAGGTACTGAGAGATAAACAAGGCGCTCCATAATAATAAAATGTCACACGGCTTTGGGGGAGTATGAATGATATCCAGTCAAACCTCTTTAGGACGAACATCAAGGGACCGATGGTATTTGTTCTGTGAGTTTGTCTTAACCCTATTTTATAACGAGTGAATACAATTATTTCTCCAATAGAGACACGAAAAGATTTCTTCTACAGCGAAAGATTCTAAGCCAGACCAAACCATTGACTCGTATTGTATGAAACAAATGAGTCACTGAACCTTTCTTTAGCAACACGACGGCAACTGAAACAACAACAGAGAAAATACGATACATGTACACCCTAGTAAAATCAAAGTTAATAATAATACTGAAGTAAATAATAATAATACAGCACATTCTCGCAGGTACATGTACTACAAACAGATTGCAGATCGTAATTCTTGCTCTGCCGGCACGCAACTTTATTTCGGGCAGTGCAATCTCGGCGGTACTCACAAATCAAACAGCCCAGACTTGAGTAAACAAATCCAATCGTACGAGATTTTCACGAGACGAGACTTTACCCATTGGCTTGTTTCGTATACTAGTGTATGAAGCAAACAAGTCACTGAATGCATGAACCTCTCCATAATGGAGATTTTCCCTGATATGCGAATTTACAGTATTTTGCATACTCGGCCAATGCGTCCTTGAACCTTTCCCTCCAGATTGGGAACTGCCAACGATGCTATGCCACTGCAAAATTCAGATTCTACCCTATGATCGGAGCACGGAATTCCGGAAGCAATCATTACCAGTGCCGTACTTGTAACGTACCAATGTACAATGAACATGAGTATTTCGACAACACATCTAAGCCTCAGCAGCATTATTATATTACATAAGCCTTACCGTCAAGAAGGTGAACTCGCGTTCTTCGCACACTGTTGGCAAGGGCAAAGAGATACGAATGGATCTAAATCCGAATAAAATCTGCACACGTTTCCGTAAATGAAAGGGTGAGCATAAGCAAATGAATCGAAGAAAACTGGTCAACTCAGAGATCACCTGTCATTGAGTATTCCGTAAAAGGAGGCCTCGACAGCAGAAAAGCTAAATTTAGAAAAGAGATCCTGTCAGCTTTTCCATTATTTATTGTATTCCATAATTCCACCTAAAATCAGCACACTTTTCGTAAATGAAAGAGTCAACACAAGCAATTGAATCAAAGGGAACAGGTCAAGTTACCTGTCATTGAGTAATATTCCGTGAAACTGAAAGGAGGTCTCAGCAGAGCCGAAGCGAAATAAGTCAGGACACGAAATATCCGAAACAGCTCATGCAAGAAGCAGTTCCAAAGAAGGAAGTTCCTCGCGCATGCACATCCGAAAACGGACTGCACTGCAACACAATGTCTGCCGTGCACGTGCACAGCACATGGCTACCACGCGTTGGTAGATCTAATTAATACCGAGCACCTTTCGTAGAAACTTACGTAGCCTAAGCGAAATACCGAGCACCTTACGTAGAAACTTACGTAGCATATCGATGTCGTTTTTTCTGCCATGTGAACCCAAGAATAGAAAAGCTGACAGGATCGCTTTTCTAAATGTTACAAACCACCTGTACACCAGTTCTCTTTTGGGAAAGGCCTTCGCGCTTATGGCATTGTATTCGTTGCAATGTTACATTTCGACTCCACCGTACCGCTGATGTTGCTGCATGGCATACGCTATATACGCTGTGTGCGTTTTGCTGTATACGCTGTTATGTCCCGTTTTATATGCGTATGTTTTGCACGTGCGCTGTTTTTTGAATGCTATAAATAGCTGGTGTTATTAGTGTTAGAAAAGGGTTTGCTCCCCACACCGGAGCTCGCGCTATTCCGCCGACTTTACTTGACACTTGACTGACTCACGACTGCCATCCAGAGCACACGAGAAGTCCATCGAACCTTCGACTCGGCAAACCTGCAAGAAAGCACCACTCCCTGCTCAATACACAGTGTTTCGGGGAATTCACCCCTCATCAGTTGAGCTTGAGTAGGCTGAGGAAGATTGTGCCTGAAGAGCACCACTTATATAGTGCTCTCCAGGCACGACCATCACCAGGGATACAAACTTACAGAGACGCTCCGTTTTCAGCGCGACAAACACCTCGTGAGCACCAGATAGCAGCGTGAGTCAGTGTCGCTCCTGGACGCTCCTGTGTATTGAGCAGGGAGTGGTGCTTTCTTGCAGGTTTGCCGAGTCGAAGGTTCGATGGACTTCTCGTGTGCTCTGGATGGCAGTCGTGAGTCAGTCAAGTGTCAAGTAAAGTCGGCGGAATAGCGCGAGCTCCGGTGTGGGGAGCAAACCCTTTTCTTACAAA